CTCTCTCTCTCTCTCTCTCTCTCTCTCTCTCTCTCTCTCTCTCAGATTTGTGCGATGAGAAACAAAAAATCCAAGATTTTTTGTGTCTCTCAAACCTCTACAGACCCTTTGCTTCCCAAATCATGAAAGTTCAAACACTTTTTTTTTTTAATAAAAAAAATCAAATAAAAATAGAAAATAGTGCTTTGGTGGTGAGATTTGAGAAATAAAATAAAAAATTGTTCAATTACAAACAACAGAGAAAGTGAAGGAGTTGGGAAGATGGGGGGAATCTTTGGATGGCGAGGGGCTGTTGGGTAGGGATGAGGGAGATGTTGTTTGGTGGTAATGAGGGGGAAAGGAAGTGGGTTTCTTTCATGTGCTTGTTTGGGTACTGGTCATGGGTCATTGCTGGGTATTAGTGTTTGTTTTGGGGAGAAGTAGGGAGATAGAAGAAGGGTTGTGGGCCGCTATAAAGGATAGAGAAAGGATTGAGAGTGAGATGGAGAGAGAAAATATTTTTTTAATTGAAGAACTTAGGGAAGTCAATATATTTAAATTAAATATTTTATTTAATAAGCTAAATTTGGAAAATAAAAACTAGCTTATTTGATTTAAGTGTAAATAAAGTGAAACATGTCATGACAAGAAGGGAGAAGATGAAAAAGAGAAGGTTAGAGATAAGGTTGCTAGCATTCCCCATGGAAAAATATTCTCTAGTGATATTCTTGGTACCTATGTGTTTATGCTGAAAATGTTGTCATCCAAGGGTTGAGGGTTAAGTTTTTTTTTTGGGTGTGTTTTTAACGACTTAGTTTTGTATATGTGTGTCAAATTGTGATTTACAGAAAGGAGATAAGTGTGTCCTTATAATTTATATTGAAAAGGAAATTATATAGAATTCTAAAAAGGCATATTTTATCTCCAATGTGCTTCTTCATAAAATCACTTAAAGTAATTATTTGGATAAATGATTATCCATAAAAATGATTATTAGCATCTCCAAAATCACCCATATATATATATATATATCAGATTATAATGTCTATGAAAAATGAATTTGGTTAAGTATTTGAACAACCAATATGCTCTTTTGTTGCATTGGTACAGAACAATCAATATACCTTTGGTTGAAATGGTACGGGCCAACCAATGTATTTCATGTTGCTAACGAAACTAATCTCTAAACAATTTCTTACGCTCTCTAATTTCTAAGGGAATTTTTTCGAATTTTGTTATTGACAATTTGCCAAGAATTTGTTAGCAAACTCAATTAATTGAATTATGTGGCTTTTTCCTGGAACGTAGGCTAACGTGGTGCCCAAGACACATGACGGAGATAGCTATAGATGGCTGCAAAGTGGCACAGAAAATTGTTGGTTCCAAGAAATACGTGAACTAATAGAGAGAGATAGACCAATCCATTATAATCTTTCTTGTAGAACCCAACATATATTGTATTTTATCAACCCAAACTGTCTATTTTGTAAATATTATTTCGAAGATCAGCTCTGCAAAAACTCACTTGAATCTGATATCATTTGACCACTCAAATAAATTATTGAAATTTTAGTACGTTCTTAAAGCATCGTGTTTATTGATTTATAGGACACAATTAGATATCTAAACGGTTTCCGATTTGTCTAATTTTTTTTTCCAAAGATGATCTATGAATGAAGACTTAAAAAATATATGTTTTGGATTGTTGGAAAAAAATTAGTTGAGGGATCAAGAGGACTGTATATATATATTAGTATTATTATTATAATGTCTACGAAAAATTAATTTGATTAAGTATTTGAACAGCCAATACGCTCTTTTGTTGCAATAGTACTGAACAATCAATATACCTTCATGTTGCTAACGAAACTAATTTCTAAACAGTGTCTTACTCTGATTTCTAAGGGAATTTTTTCGAATTTTGTTAATCGCAATTTGTCCAGAATTTGTTAGTAAACTCAATTAATGGAATGAGAGCAAACAACACTTTAAGAAAATGATTCAAACCGTACCTCGAAGTCTTCATCCATATTTCAATCTCAGGTCATGCTAGAGAGACCAACTCGGGATACCAACTTGTGTACCAACTCTCTAATAGAGATGGAGCCCACCAATACAATGGGTCCCACGCTCTATTAGAGAGTTGGTACACAAGTTGGTATCCCAAGTTGATCTCCCTAGCATTTTCCTTCAATCTCTACTCAACATTTATTAGCTGCCAACAAATTTTAAAGGCAAAAGGAGGTGTGAAGCAGCGTTTTGCAAAGCAAAGCTTATGTTGTAATTATTGGTTTCTTTTTTAGATAACTGGTCCCCGATTATAATTGAATGGTGACATAATAACCCCAACTAACTTATCTGAATGGATCCAATCTCTACCATTGGAAAAAAAACAAAAACAAAAACCAATTATTTTGCAGAGAGTATGGGTTGGACCATTCAAATTAGTTGGTTGGGGTTATCATGTCAGCATTCAGGGGTTCGGCTTGCCATTAATGAGAAAGTGCTTTCAACGGGTTTCGAACCCCTACCATTAAGGCACCAAGTAGCTCGCCAACTAGAGATGACAGTTTAACAACCACACCACACCTTGTGGTTGAAAAAAAAAAACTTTTTAGATAAGATGAAATAATATGATAACAAAGGAAAATATCAACATTCAGCATGGGCAGAATATCGCCATGAAAATCATAAGCTGGATCTGGCCTAGATCCATTAGCTTCTGCCAGTGGAATTAATTGGTCAGAACCTGATGATATGGTCTGCATGCATGATCCATGCATTTACAGTTATAGCGTCTCTAACCAAGCTAATATAAGTAAAGAGTTTGAATGGATCCAATCTCTACCATTGGAAAAATAAAAAAAAACCAATTATTTTACAGAGAAGGGATTGGATTAACTAAAATATGCATGATATTATACATAGCCCTTGCAGATTAGACATAATCTAATCGAATTTAATTCCAACTTATTGGTAGGATTCATAATCCATAATCTAATCTAGGTTATTTTTAGGTCACCAAACATTTGACTCTTTAAATTCTATTTAGCAATATAATTTATCTCACCAAATACATCAATATATCCAATTCTACATCATAATTCAATCCAATCAAAATCACCAAATATAGCCGAAAAGTTTGGAATGCATCACCACTCACGTCTATAGAGACACTGGCGGACCCAATCAAAGACAACTATGGGCAGCTGCCCACACCTACAAAAAAACTTCAGCCATATAATCCCACATAAATTCACAATTTTTAATTATTTTTAGGTCCTTTTCTAGTGAAGCCCCCCCCATATGGCCCATTTATTACATATACTTTAAGTCCAAATCTTATATTAAAAAAGAAAAACCTTAAATCCTCTATTAAAAAAGAAGAATAGGGATCCCACCAAGTTCACTTATTATGTAATTTTGTGGAGAACTCAGCCGCCAAACTCGTTATTTGACAAAATTCTGCTGCCCAACAAATCAAACTCGCTACTTCAATTGATTTTACAGGTTAGTACTAAGTAGTTTTTTT